GAAAACCCTGGGCCGCTCCAGCTCGCCTCCCCGGGAAGGGTCCCCGTCGCCCCGTGATGTACAGTTTTACGCAGAAAAGAGCTCCTGGTTGAATGAATGGGGACACCCGCCTGTTCTCCCAGATTCTAGAATTTGGTGGTTTGGGCGGAAATATTTGCTAAGTGATTGAGAGGCTGCAGGTGCCTGTTGCCTTTGTTCGGATTATCGGTTCATTTTCTTGCGTTCTTACCAAGTGGTACAGGTCCACTTAAAAAGTTTGCTTGAGTTGTATTTATTCTGTGAAGGTATTCGTTGGACTACAATTTAAACTGATTTCCTCCCATCCTTTCCATTTACCCCTCTCCTCCTCAAAAAAAAAAAAAAAAAAAAAAGTCACAAAGTAAACAACAATGTTGTAGTTTCAGCCAGGAACCCGCGGATTTATTATTCATGATCTCTGTAGGAGTCATTATCTCCTGATCTTTATGAAATGTTTTCGTGAGGCGCTGGCTTCTCTGATTAGCGTTAGAATGTGGGAGAAAACATTACCAGATATTTAATTTTGTTTCTCACTAGGGAGAACGCTACATTTTCTTTGGGAGTTGGATTAATAGCTTAGTGGCCGTATTCAACCCGATTTGCAGTAGCATTGAAATTTTGTCAGTTGATTGTCTTAATGCACTTTGCCCTTCCTCGGTACAGTTTCTAGTTTTAAAACTTCACAGCTTCCTGTGTTCATCTGTACAAAACTAAAACTCGAGAAATAAAAGCATATCACAGATTGTTGTCAGGTTGTTTGTTAGCCTTTTGGGGTCTCTCTTTGAGTGTCATTTACATAATACAAGCATACCTTTTTCGACCTAGTGATGTCTATCAAGTGTTGTGTCTGCATCCAAAATATCAAGTGCCCCATTAAGAAACTACCTTAAGAAAACAAACAAACAAAAACTCTCTGGGTTCCCTTGACCAGTTCTTTAACTGATTTAAAAGAAAAAAAAAAGTGAAGCACAATTGATTTCATTTGAATTATTCAAATAATACTTTTGTTTTTTTATCGTTGACTATGAATATGAATGCCTTTTCTAGATGCTACCTGTAACACAAAGGTTAGTAACACAGTTGATCTTAATGGAACTGACAATTCAGGTACACTATACCTGCAAAACAGATCAGAATGTCAAGTCTTATGAGTTACACCCTGTGTTATATCGGACAGACAATGAAGTTATAGCTCGGAGAATCAGAAAAAGCAAGGGAGATTACATTTGAGATGGGCCTTAAAGGACAGACTGAATTTAGACAGGCAAAGATTAAACAGAAAAGGATTCTAGATAAAGGCATCACTGTGAGCCAAACCACAGAGGAGGGGAAAGCCCGGATTAGTTACAGAGGACTTGAGGGACTGGGGAGAGGAAAAGCTGGAAATTTAAGCTGGGGCCTGTTTTCAAGGAATTTGAGGAAGAACTGATAGATTATATTAGGAAGCAATGGCTTTGCTTTGGGAATTTCTCTCCCTTGTTGTATGAGATGGTTGTACAAGAGAGAGACACTGAAGGCTTTAGAGAGCTCCCTAACTGGAGAGAGGGTTAGGCTTGTGTTGCCAGAAGCTACAGAATTTAAATTGTGTGGTAAAAGAAAGGAAGCAAAGTGAGAGAGGAAAGATCATGGAAATGTATTTGTCAGGTGTCAGGAAATGTATCTCATGAGCCATTGAACCGTTAGCATATTAGAACGCACACTTGTCAGGTAAGGAAAGCATCATTCTTATATTTTGTCCCTGGGCTCCTCAGGTTCTCTATATCTATGCACTGAATGTTTTCTTTTTCTCTTGATTAATATTATGAGGACACAAAAAATCAATCGCAGGATCTACCCAAACTTGGAAACCTTTTTTACAGCAGGAGATAGAATTTACTTACATTCTTTCTAACCCAGTGGAACAGCCAGCTGGTCCTGAGCCTAAAGAAAAATCAGACAGTTATCGCAACATGAACCTCCGGTGGCACACACAGGGAGCCTCCTCCGTAACCAGAGCTCCCTGTGGGCATGGGCACTGTCTCCCCAGACCTTGCGGCAGACCATTGCAGGGAAGAGCACTGGCTTGGAATCAGACCTGGATGCCAGCTAGTAGTTTTGTGGTCCTGGGAAACATACTCAATCCATTTGAGCTTCAGTGTCCTTGTCTTAAAAAGGTTATCATATTTACCTTTTGTAAACTATTGTAAAGATTAAATCAGTGCAACTAAAGCACACCAAATGTGGCACCTCACATTTATGGTACATTTAAAACATAATATATAGATGTGTGTGTGTGTGTGTGTGTGTGTGTGTGTGTGTGTGTGTGTAAGAGTAAAGTAAGATAGAAAGAAATATCATTTCGAAACCTGGAATTAATAACTAATGTGGGTTATATTAACCAGCTGAATGACACTGAGTCAGCCTCTTACTGGTTATAGACCTCAGTTTCTGTCTCTCTCGAGATAAAGGATCTGATCTGGTAATCTCCAAACGCTTGCATAGCTCTCGCATTCTGTGATGGTGCGAGAGGATTTTTCATTAAAATCAACTTACTTGAACTTCACAGACAAGATTCAAAGGTTAGTTGGCAATTATTAAGGTTATAGTAATCTGAGATTACCAAATAATATTACATTCATACCTAATGCCCGTGCCTTACCTTTTGAAACATGATTGTTACAGATTGAGGGGAATCCCACTTTTCTAACTTTTCTTAATTTGTGGTTAACGTCAGAACTAAAGACAGATTGCCTGAATTAAAATATCAGCTCTGCCATTCTTGGCTATAACATAACTCCATAGGATTAAATGCATTTGCACATATAATGTCCATAATCCAGCATCGTGCACATGGTAGATATTCAATAAGTATTAGTACTTGTTATCAGAGCAAGAACAAATATGTTCCCTGACATTCCCAGCATACTGAACGTTTAAACTTTTCAATTTTCATTTTTTAATATTTTTATTGATTTTTAGAGAGAGAGGAAGGGAGAGGAATAGACAGAAACATCGATGAGAGAGAAACATCACAGGATCGAGCATGTGCCCTGACCGGGAATCCAATCAGTGACCTCTTGATTCCTGAGTCAACGCTCAACTGCTGAACCACACTGGCCGGGCTTTCAATTTACCTTTGTCTTTCAATTTCTTTGTCTAATTAGAGTAGGGTAAAAAAAAATTTTATTCAATATTTTTTAAACTGTAAGCATTTTCTGTGTTGCTCTGAAATCTTATTTTTCTATTTGATCTAGGCCAGTATTCATAATTTTCATAGCCATCTATTTTTAATTTTTAGATAATTTCTAATATTTCATTATTAAGTAATGCCTCAATAAAGTTATAATACTAAAATGGACATCATTTATATATACTTTTTCTTTTTATGTATTTCCTTAGGGCAGCGGTTCTCAATCTGTGGGCCACGACCCCTTTGGCGGTCTAACAACCCTTTCACGGGGGTCACCTAAGACCATCCTGCATATCAGATATTTACATTACGATTCATAACAGCAGCAACATTACAGTTATGAAGTAGCAATGAAAATAATTTTATGGTTGGGTCACAACATGAGGAACTGTATTTAAAGGGCCAGAAGGTTGAGAACCACTGCCTTAGGGTAAATATCCAAGAGGAGTATATCTGAGTCAAAGGCT